ATTGTTCATACACATATTAATTAATACAAATTTTTGACCAATTTATCCTTTGAACAATTGTTCATACACATATTAATTAATATATTAATGAAATTATTGTTTATTTAATCTCATTTAATAATAACCGTTAGATGAGAAAATGAACGATTAAGATGGGTTAGCATAGTTTGCACAAAATATTGGGTTAGTATTTGAACCAACCCCTATATATATATATATATATATATATAAAGAAAACCATCAAACTTTGATTTAAAAGAAGTAACGTAAAATGAATTCATGAAGTAATTGTTCATGCCTTTTTTAGATAGTAATTGAAAACCGATCATGTTTCATTAAAAGCCTCCATTTTCAGTAATTGTGCAAACTTTTGTTTTCTCACACAACTTTTTGCAAGTTGAGAGCCTTCATGGAAACTGTTTCTACTCTTTGGAGTTGACAACATGTCTGTATAATTCTGAGTGAGATTTAGCAAGTCTATCTGATATTTATCGAATTACCAGATATATATCAACAAACACACCTTTCTTTCCTTTACAGTTGCAATTAAACATCGATTTCACATACAAATGTTGGTAGTAAAATTGAACGATCAGCTACACATTGTAAATCAAACACAATAATGTTGATATTTACATAAACGCTATATCTGATTTAGGTAAATGAAGGTCTTTTAAGCTTACATTTATTCATTTGTATATCATCTTTGGTAAGAAAGTAGATCAATTGACTCTAAAGCAAATGAATTAAATGTTGACTGATCAAAATTAAAAGTATTTTACTTGCAAATCTTTTTGTAGTCGTTTTGTTCATGTCCAAGAGTTACCTGAAACAACATAACGTAAAAGATATCAAATAATATAAATTCTAACTACTTAAAAGATTTTTCACCCAAAAACCGATGGAAAAAAACCATATTCCTAACACACTGTTAATGCAACTAACATTCAGTTCTTCCTATTTCATACTCATTTTACTTGACTAGAAGGGTACTCGCACAATGTAGCGATACACATCTCGATCTTAATGTTTTTTTTGTTTAGTCGATGTTATAATACGGTTTATGTGGTTTTAAGAAAGCGATAATATTTTTATTTTTAAATAAAATATAAATATGAAGATATTATAAGAAATTGGAAAAAAATAATATTGATATTAATACAAAACTAACTATTTAAAATTTCAATTTTTTGTGTGTATTTCTTTAATTCATTTTTTTTATTTTATGTTTAATAATATAATTTTTTATAAAGATAATAATTAAGTATTTTGCTAGTTACCAATAATTATCCTAATTATATTTTACAATTTTTATATTTAAAATGAGATGTTTATCCTCTATTTCATTATGTTTATCTATAGTTAGTTACACGAATTCAAACATGAAGCTTTAATAAGTTATACTTACGCACAATTTACTTGTAATCTTAAATTTTAAGTAATATGCATCAATAAACAATATTTCATACATAAAAAATGATTTTTAAGAGTTTTTGTCAAATACTTTATAATATAGTATAGATAAACAGGTTTTCAAGCTACATGGCATCCGCTAATTGTGTTGTGGCATTTTTCCAAATAATCAAAAATTACAAAATAGTCCGATAATTTGGCATTCATGTTATAAACAAGATTCATCGGTCAAAATGGGTACGAAATAAAACGTTTGTAGCACAATTGAGAAAAATAATCATCGTTACACTAAATAGGAAAAAGGGTAAACTTCGTTACATTTAATGCATTTTGGCCTAAAGGAATACCCAGAAAAAGATGAGTGTTATAGCTTGGATTCTTCAAAGTTTGAAGCCCAGAATGGAAGAGATATGGTTGAAAGAATTAGAAATGATAAAAGGTGGATATGTGTACCTAATTGTTGCAAAGAAACTAGTTCTATACCATAAGGGTGGTGTCTGATTGGTTTGAGCTTGACTTCAAAGGGCAAATGTACCAGGAGGTCCCAGGTTCAAATCCAAGGAGGAATAAAAATCCCCTTATGGCCACGGAGGTTAAAATGCGGGTTCTGCAGAGCAGGTGGTCGCCCTGGGATTAGTCGGCTCGCATAGCGGGTTGGATATCCAGGTTAATCAAAAAAAAAACTAGTTCTATGTGTTCTTAAGGAGTCATGAAACTGAATTCAGATGTTAATCACAACTGCATAGTTATGGTAGGTCAAAACTTCATGCAGCTCGTGCGTATGGCAAGCGACTATGCGAGACATGATAGACAATACAGAACAAAAACTTGTCCTACGTTTGACGTGACATTAGACTGGGACAGTTTTTGTCCCACTAAAATAGATGGAACAAAAATCAGAAGAATATACAAGATTGATAAATTACTAAACTATCCATGTGAGTTTAAAATCCTAAAACCTTCCACAATTCTCTCACTCTTACTCTCTCAGGTTCAATCATGTCCGCATACCAAACGCATCATTTTAAAGTAAAATCACAAACAAAAATCAGGAAGACAAGACAAAATCTATAAATTACTAATGAAGCATGATGTTCAGTAAAAGGAGATGGAAATGATTTAACTTTTCTCAAGAACTTGTTAGGAATTTACTCACAATGAAAGAAACTATATCAGCATCTCGCAGCTCATTAAGCGTGAGAGGATTTCTTCACAGCTAGGTCGTTGATAGGGTTCCGCCCAACAATCTGAAAGAAAATATGAGAGAAACTACCCTATTATGCTAAATATGGGTGAAAACCTTGCTCTTTTTCTAAAAAAGTATCTAGTAAATTTGAAATGAAGCATATCGAAACTTGTATTTAGACGTTTTTTTGCATACCTGCTATTAGGTTTCCCAAGGGACCTTCAGGAATTTCAAGTCGAGTTCCATCATGACCAACAGCACGAACCACCTGTAACAAAATGCACGAGATGAGCATCAATGTCATGGATTTCACTCTTGACCAGTACGTTTATACTCCCTCCGTCCCAAAATAAGTGTTAACGTTTTAATTTAATTTGCCTCAAAATAAGTCTACTTTACAAATTTACCCCTAACTATGAGATGGAGAAATTCATTACTCCATCTATTTTGAAGGGTAAAATGATCATACGTACTTAATTAAAAGGAGTAATAGTTATACATTTCTAAAACTCTGAGCCTTTCTCATTGTGGACATTTATTTTGTGAAGCAGGTAGTATATTGAATCTGGGGATCTCCACTGAAACAACCTCTCTACCCCTTTTACCCTTTGGCATAGAGGCAGGGTCCGCATACATATTTCCCTTACCCCCCCCCCCCCGGGGGGCCGGGTGGGACCCTATCTCTGTGTGGATTTACCAGGTTAGTTTGGTTTGGTTTCTTATATATATATATATATATATTGAATCCGAGTTAAACACACTTACTTGAGCTGATGGCACTCCTTCCCATGGTCTATGAAGAGTACATAGTTCCCAAATTATGACACCAAAGCTGAAAATATCACATTTTTCTGTAAAGGGTTCATTACGAATGAGTTCAGGTGCCATCCACTCTGGGGTCCCTGCAGATGAACAATCTCTTATGTGTGTAGTGTTTAGCACCCGTGAGAGCCCAAAATCACAAATCTTCACTGTCCAGTGCTTATTCACTAAGCAATTCGCGCTTTTCAGATCACGGTGCACTATTTTCACTCGATGCATAGACATAAGACCCCTTTATGCAAAGAAATAAGAAGCTGTTAGTAGGAGTTATTAGCAGTGATTTCAGATCGGAGGGAGTAATGTGAACCGTAAATTGACTAAGGGGCTATTTGGTTGTTTTTCTATAAGGGCCTGTTTGTTAGTAGCTTAATGGATTTATGGAACTGATCCAACATCTAGACTTTCTAAAGCTATTAAAGAAACATATATAGCATCTAGGATGGAGTGCAATAGAACTCAAAGACCTATAGTCATGCTAGGCCCTTTTACGTCTTCCTCTCTACTTGTGTTAAGAATCCTTAGCGACACCAATGGTCTGTTTGTTAGCAGCTTAATGAGCTTAATGTGACTCAAAGCTTATTCAGTCAACTATACATGACTGTTTGGGAGTGCCTTAATGATACAGAAAGTGGCTTATTTAAATATTTAGTAAGCTTCTAGGGTGGGGGAGCTTTATGCAGAAAGCCAAAAAAATTCAAACATGCTCCTTCCAATTAAAAAACACGCTTCTTCCATCTATGAAAAAACCCCAAACAAGAACTTCCTCATTAATCAACACAGACAGCTTTATTCATACAGGACTTGATGGAAAACAACCAAACAGCTCATAAATGTAGATGCATACGAGCATTGTTAAAGCTTTGGCACAAGCCGGATGTCTTCAAGGAAACAACTGCTCTATCCTTTGGGGTGGAGGACAGGTGCGCATACATCCCTCCAAGACCGTACTTTCTAGTGGAATATACTGGGTTTGTTTGGTTTGGTTTATAATGCTAAACAAGTATAAAGGTTTTCAATTATACCTGCATATATCACACAGCATTTTTAGTCTCCTTCGCCAGCTGATTCTCTTTTTTAGCCCACTCACATGAATGAGATAATATAGAGACCCCATGTCCATGTATTCGGTGATCAATGAAAAGTGAGGAGGCGTTGTGCAAGCACCAAGGAATAATATAACTGCATAAGAACGCAAAAAAGTTCAAAGGAATTAGTAGTTATCAATGGCAAATTCATCATAAATTTTAGCACCATCTGAAAGTTTTGAACCGTTCAATTCATAGTTTTACAAACAAGAAATATAATATGCTAAAACAGGATGATATCTGAAATAAAAGAAGAATACCATTTGGGTGGCGAAGTCGACTGCAAAAAATGAAAAAGAATCAGCAGTGTTTGAGACATGAAGGTGAAGGTACTTAATGCGTGTCGAAAGGTACCTTAGAATGGACATCTCGTTGCAAAAATCTTCGATATTCTCAGAAGTTATTTCCTGTTCAAGTAAGACTTTGATTGCAACATCAATTCCATTCCAAGTGCCTCGGAAAACTTCCCCAAAAAACCCTACAAGATAAATTCACATATTTAGAAGGTAAAACAAAAAGAAATCAGAATATCAGTAAAGATAAAAGGTGAATGAAATAGAAGCTGAACAGAGTACAAAATATAGGTTCTGAAGATGATGGTAATGATGAACATTGGCAGAGGTAAAAGGTAATAATGAGAGCATCTCCGACAGATTCTCTCTAATTTCTCCAAAATGGTGAAGCAAGAGTTAAAATCTCCAAAAAAATAAATGCAATCAACTCCAACAGTTTCTCCATTTTGGAGATTTCGACATTAGTATATTATTAAAACTATCAATAGATTTAATATCCCAACGAACTTTCAAATAAACTTTACGTAAAAATGATAATACATTAAATTCATTGGTGGCAACAATAAAATAACATTTCTTGCTCTAATTTTGGAGAGTTCTCCATATTTGGAGATCTTTATCCTCCTTTTCCTAGTTTCTCCATTTTGGAGTATCTGTTGGAGCAAAAAGATAGGTTCAAAACTCCAAAATCCCCATCTTTCTCCATTTTGGAGGATCTGTTGGAGATGCTCTAATCGTATGAAGAACTCAATCTCTGCCATAAGCTAGGAAATAGTAATGCATACCAATGCCAACACGTGATCCAACTGTTAGTTCAGAAAAATCAATATTCCATTCATGGAAGGGGAACCATGGTTCGTTCCTGATGGAGGACGATTCAAGAAACTTATTCCATGTGATCATATCAAGATTCCCTTCTAATTTTTCTGTTTCATTCCTGTCAGAACCATGATCATGAATCCTATACTTATGAGGAGATGAAGGTAGAGAGAAGGCCTTTGGACAACTGGTTTGCCTCCTATGCGAAGCAGATGCCTGGAATTATCAAATGTCATAAACAATCAAAAAGGTGAAACATGGATGCATCAATATAAAAAAGAAAATCCATGGGGGAAAGATTTTTTTATATGGTTGACAACCCAAGAAACAACTCAAGATGAAAACGTAAATGATGACAGAACCACGTACACGTCAGCAATTAATTCACTTTTTCAAGTTTGATGTTTGTATGTTTTGTTTTAATTGAATGTTGATGCGTATTTCTAACTAGGCTTTCAAATTTTAGCACGGCCGTTTTCAAGTTCTTTTTGGCTTGTTCTTCTATTGTTCTTTTTCCACAGAACAATTTGAGCAAGAGTCTTCACGGAAGCAGCCTCTCTACTCTTTATGGTAGAAGTCAGGTCTGCGCACATCTCACCCTCCCTAGACCCATCTCCGGGTGGGATATACCAGCCTTGTTTGGTTTAGTTTAACCAAAGAGGAAAGTGAAGGTTACGCATCATTTCTAATGATAGCTTTAGTAATATATTATAGTCCCAATAACTTTTAAGTATATATACTGCCATATAAGAACCTTCCAAATATTAGGGTCCAAATTTATTGTAACATGAATGTCAAACTAATTGTTCGAATTATTGCTAGTCTTCTAAAATATACAAGTTAGTGGTATGCAATTATCCAATATACCTAATACAAATTCTGACTCAAGTTTAAACTTTAACACCAAATCCTTCATATTTTGTATTCATTCCACAAAAAATCCAAAAATGGCATCAAAGTCTCAATGACTTCAAAGAAAATTATGCAAGCATTCTTTTGACCTCATGAAAAGGTACCTATTTGTATGTACAGATAGTAGGATTTGAAATAATGCTGCTATAATTGAGAACTAAAGTATACACGCTTAACTTATGATAAATTATAATGAATAAAACAAGCCCATGATAATAAGTAGTGCTAACAACAAGATTTCATCCTCAAAACACTGAAAACTATAATAGCATTATGCAATTCTATATGATAAACAAACAAAAAGATTACACTTACGTTTTCCTGATGTTCTGGACTATTGCAATGATCATCAATATGTTCCCTTGGAGGATGATTTCTCTTCAAAGTGTCATTCATTGCTCGCACAACCCTACAGTTTGGTTCAAAATTACAGCACTCATAAAAATTGCATATTTCCTTTGCCTAAATTCATGAACGATATGAAAATTCAAAAAAAAGGGGGTGAGTCCAAAGTTTAGTCTCCATAATGCTCTCTATGAAATTGCAACAATCTAATTAAGGAATTGCTGAAGAAACTTAAGGTTTTAGCCATAAATCTTCTCTAGGTACTCAGAATGAAATATGTTTAAAACCCCTTAAAGTATGGAAGAACTCGGGATACTAAAAAGTTAGAGACAAGCAGGATCATGCATTTCCTTATAATAATAATAATAAAATTCCATTAATCAAGCACTCCAATATCAGCCAACAACAATCTGGAGTCAACAAATGTCCTATTTTTAGACTATTAGTTGAAGCACAAATTAGTCTAAATTAAACACATTATTTTTCATATATGTTTCTTGTATGGCGGCCCTTAGAGCAAGCGTAAAGGTTACTCTTTTTTACAGGAAAGTCGTAGGTTCAAATGAAAACAACCTCTTTTATAAAATGCAAAAGGGAGATTGCATATAGAGACTTCTTCCCCAACGTCAGTAAAGCTGAGAAGCATGATGCACCGAGTTCAACCTTTATGTATGTTTCTTTTATTTTATTTAAATGTAATACTCCACCCGTCCCCAAATAAGTGTCCATGTTTCTATTTTAGTTTGTCCAAAAATAAGTGTCTACTTTCAAAAGTACACACTTTCCAGTTCTACCCTTAATTATATAAAGAAAAAAATTTATTCCCCCCTCTATTATAAACGGTAAAATTGTTGGTCAGTTAATTAAAAAGTGTAATAGTTAAACATTTATAAAAATATGTCTTTTGTATTGTGGACATTTATTTTGGGATGGAGGGAGTACATGAGAACCAAGGTTTTCAAAAGCGGAATCAGGACTCGAGGCATTTTCCTTCCACGCCCTGAGGCGTAAGCCTCGAGGCGGTCCAAGGCGCAAGCCTCGAGGCATAAAAGAAATAAAATTCATAAATATTAATAGTAAGCATGACATAATTCCATATCAAACTTTAAACATCATAGATTCATAAAAGTACTAGTTATAAGTCTAAAAACATATCAATCTACAACTTATAGTTCCCCGTAGCATGATCAAGTTGGCCTTTGAGATGAATATCTTCTTGAGATAACATCTTCTTGAGAGAGGAAAAAGTAAGAAATGGAGAAGAAAAAAATGGGGTTTGGAGAGGTATTCTCGGTGGAGAAGAAAATCTGAGAAGAGAGTAGGAGAAGAAGACAAAAGTAGGATTAGGAAATGGAAAGGTAACATTTGTTCTTTATTAATAAGATAAAAGTTTATAAAAGGCTTTTTTGTACTTTTAAATTATAAAAGTACAATTGAGTGATTGACTTTACTTAAAAAAAACTTTTAATTACTTTTTTTTATTCTCACCTCATCAGGTACCTATTTTAAAAGAATCAAGGCAGCAGCAAACTGAAGCGTGCGCCTCAGAAACGCCTCAATGCCTCAAGGCACCGCCTCAACAATTGAGGCTTAAGCCTCGTCCAGAGACCATAAGACGCTGCCTCATGAGCGTTTTTGGACCGCCTCGACTCAAGGTGTGCCTCGGGGCATACGCCTCAAACGATTTTGAAAACCATGATGAGAACTCTTCTTAAACTGATGTTCGTGCAACGCGAGCAACAATAGAGAAGAATATCAATGATAACTCCACAGTTCAAGATCAAATACCAGATTATAGCAAAAGAACTTCAATTATAAATTCCACAAACACACATAAGTACTTTATCATAGATGAACAAATATATCATCATTTTTGGTCACCATTTCGAATCCCCTCAGGGCCATTGGAGGTTTGTCTGGTTGTTAACTTCAGGACCCCATGGGATTAGTCGAGGTGCACGAAGTTGGCCCGGACACCCACGGTTATCCTAAAAAGGATCAAAATGCAATGAAGTTTGGTTTTGTTCCTATTTAGTGAAATGAAGATTTTGTTTTCCTTTTTCAAGATTTCTCAATCAACATAACAACTTCAAAAATTCCTATTACATTTCCATGTAAAGATCATTTCCTTCACGAGTCCGTTCACCGACTCCCCCAAATACGGATACGCCTCCGTGAATGTAACATTTGATAACATGGATGTCAAGTTCGTAACACCTCCGTAAACATTTCCTAAAAGGATATCCATGTCATCAAATGTTACATAATCAGCAGGTTACCAGTCAAGGGTAAAAAGTTTGAAACTTTGTTACATTGATTGAGAAAAAAAATATATTTGTAACATTAAATAGGAATTAAACAAAACTTTGTTATATTTTGATGCATTTGCCCAAAAAAACTACATCATCAGTCAGGGTACTGAAGTATCAACCTTACAATGTCATCGCCAATTTCTGGAATCATGGTAGCACTACTCCGTCGTCGTCTTCTGCGACTTCCTATGGGTGATGCCCCAGCAGACCTAGAGTTACTTATGAGAATCCATCAATTCTAGCAATGGACATTATGTAGGGAAAATGAAGTGTATGATTAACAAATATAAGTTTAAGTGTGTAAGGTAATCTCTCCTCCCCACGGGAAACTGTGATGAGGGACGTAAAGAAAAAAGAGAGTGAAGATTCCTTTTTAATCACATTCCTTGGATCATATCATCTTACTGTTGAGATGTATTCTCGTGTTTTTTTGTAAATTGGGGGTGTTCTCATTTGAACCTCCACCTATATATAGGGGCAGATTAGGTTGAGAACCTGATTTTCGTTGTGAACTGGGGAACCAACGAGAGTGTGCCACGTGTTCGGGACATCCATCACAAATGGTGTAACATTCATCATGAATGTCGTAACATTCATCATGAATGTTGTAAAAGATTCACGTCCATTATTGACAATGAATAGGGTCACATGTCGCACTCTTAGTTGTCCCCCGGTTCGCAAAATGTGTGGAAGCACATGAAGGCCTTGCTATTTATAGATCATATGACCAATGTTCCTTACCCAGTCTTTCGTTCCGTATATATATTAGGTCATCAAATCCTCTATAACATTTAGGCTCATAGGGAAGAGCTGAATGATGGAATTTAAAACAAAAGTTGAGTTTTAAAATTTGTCGCTTTATTGTTCTAGTTTAGTTTATTTTATTTTACTGTATGGAATTATTAAATTAGTTTATTTCATTGTATTAATTAACATTAGAGTTTAATTAATTAAAACCAATAAATTCATTTAAATAATTTATATATCAATTAGTTTAAATAATACATAAACAAATATTATATATTACTATCTAAGCGGTGTTGGGAGTAGCTCATATCATAGACAAGTGGATAGAGGGAAGATTGTGGTGGATTTGTTAAGTTCGTAGGAGACAGTTGACGGCCCTAGTGAGGATGATAGAGGGTGCGACAGTCGAGGAGGCAAGGAGAAGGGATAGGTCGAAGAGAAAATGGGATAAACAGTTGAGGTTAGATATGGCGACCTTAGGCATTTCCGTAGACATGACCTCTGATAGAAGTCTTTAGAGCAGGATAAGGGCAGCAAATTAGGGGCGGGTTTCTGTAGCAAGCATAGATGGGAGCCAAAGAGGGGGAGGGTTGAGGTAGACTCCAATGTTGTGGTAGGGATGTGATTTCTTAACTTGGCCATGTTTTCATGTACCTACAGCTGCTTATATGTTGTTTATTTCTAACTCGATTTTTGTGTTATAATGTTGCTTGTTTCAAATTCTTCTTTTTTGGACCCTCGCCTTTTGTTTTTTCCTCTATTTCTTTGGAAAAACTTTCTCCTTATTTTGCACATGTCTCACAAGCCGAAGGTCTTAACAGAAAAAGTTGCTTGACTCTTGAGAGTAGAGGTCAGGTCCTCATACATCTCACCTCCCCCAGACCCCACCTCCGGGTGGGACATACTAGGCTCTTTGGTTTGATTCGGTTTGGGTTTATTTCTATTCAATAATATGAAGTACTAAATATAAAAATATAAATGAAAAGACTAAAGTGAAAAGGTTGATTATAGTGGAGAGGTTGTTGATGTGGGGCTAAGAGACTATGAAAAAAGTTGCAAAAGAACGGGTTTCCAACGGGCACCACTATGGACGCTCTTAATGAGTGAGCAAGTGAGAGAGAATCTATGTGAGAAGGAGAGGGCCATTTTACTAAAAGAGGCATGAGGTCTTCACCAAACCAGTGATTTCTCTCCCAGAAAGCACAAAATCGGGTCCCACAATCTGCTAATAACTAAATGTTTCTATGAAGAGAGTCAAGGAGGAAGGATGGGAGGGAAGAGAATGAGTGTTGACTTTTTGTATGAGATGATAAATAAATAAAAGAATTAAGTATTAGAACCTTGATACTGTCATGTCATTTGGACACTCTCTCGGAGAATCTTTATGACCACCAAGAATAGATCTTCCATGCCCTCGAAATAAACAGTGCTCTGGACTGAAAATGAAACATAGAAGAAACAAATTGCAAAAAGAACACTTGAAATAAAAATAATAGGCCAAATAGAATGAAAAATGCAACGTACTGTGATCTGGTTTGTAACGTACTTTCAAAACCTTTATCTCAAACATTTAGACCAAAGTACGCTACACAAAATAGGAATCAGACTAAAGTGCGTTACATTTTTATGCATTCTCATATGTAAACCAGGTACCTAAATGTTTGATATGTCAAATCGTAGGTACAAAAATGAAGGTTTTGAAAGTACATTACATAATATAGTAACCAGACCAAATTATGTTGCATTTTCATGCAATTTACCCAACATAATATGTTGATTTAAACCTTCCATGGATATTAAATCAGGCCCTGGCATTGGCAATCAGACATCCAATACGGATTTATACCGTGTTGATTCGAAGCATCATATGGGTGATAGAAATTAACAAATAAAGCTTATAAATTTTATTAGCCACCAACATCTAAGATGGGTTAATAATAAGTGCCTCATAGCTAAAAGAATGATTAACATTGAGAGATGGAACGATGGATTAAAATTTAAAGCAAAATGTTATGGCCGCAACCATACAACTAAATTGCAATTTCAGGGCATACTTTTTCTGCTTTTTAGTATTACAACTTTAGGCAATAATATTGCAACTTCTAACACATATTTGAACTACTTTTGCATTTACCGTAACAGTTTTAGCAACAACAATGAAATTTCAGCCTACCGACTTGACTAATTTCAGTCAATTGAATTTTAAGGAGTACTCAAGAGTATAAAGGATACCAAATGGAAAACAATTAGCATGAATTTTATCAGAATATGTGGAACACCATTAGATTACTCTCCAAAAGAACCCTTCAGGAGATAACGGAGGTTCCATCATATATGAAGGATAGAGGGTCCAAGTCTAGCTGATGTCGTACTCCGAACGCCCCCTCCAACAGAGCCTAGACATGCACAGATTGTCCCACAATGTCATGTCCCCAGAGTGGTAGACATTGGCTCTGACGCCATGTGAATATGTGGAATCCCATTAGATTACTCTCCAAAAGAGCCCTTCAGGAGAGAAAGGAGATTCCATTATATATGAAGGATAAAGGGTCCAAGTCTAGCCAGTGTGGGACTCCAACAAATTTCAAGTTTTCTACCTCAAAAGTCAACAAACTAAAGGTGTGAGAGAGAGAGAGAGAGAACCTTGAACTGGGTGTGCTTTGTTCAGCAAGTACGTTCTTGTTGCGCCCCCATGCTGCATTTGCTACATTAGGTTCGCCATGTGATAAGCTGCACAGAAATGTAAGGTGATAACTATTACAAATAATGTTACTGATTCAAAAACTATAAATATCACAAAACTCAAATAAGTTTCTCTTTGAAGAATGGGAATTCAACGAGCTGAGGGATACAGTAACTATCAGCTAATAATCATCAAGAAACAAACATATTTCTTTTTTTAATTCCTTTTTATTTGAAACTTATTTCCTTACCACTCATCAACACTTTCCACAGCACCATGCACAGGACTGTTTGGTTCAATAGGTGAATCGCATGAATCATTCTCTCCAGAATCACCTTGACCGATGACATATACATGAGACATGTATACTGCCTTGGTGGAAAAGGGTACCAAATGACCTGGATACCTCACTATATCAACCAGTAATTCAGCAGAATTCAGTTCCACTATAACAGACACGTGCCTATGTAAATCGGTTCGCTCCAATTCTCCATCCTTGGGTAAACCCTGAAGACAAAAAAATAATAATAATCTAAATAAATCAACTCGGATGATATGGTAAACCAAGGCGTTTGCTAGAATGGTACCCACGGTGATCTCAAGAGGGTGTGGGTGATTCGCAGGACTTTGAAGGGCTTAGTAGTTAATACTAATCACTTGCCTTTTATTATCAACATTAGGATATCATCTATTATTATTATATTCCTAAAATAAGTGGCTTCGTAATCAAGCAATTTGAATTACGGTAGGTTTAGGAAATCCGGAGTATTTATAGGTCATTAGGGTTAAGGTTTTGGAGGAGGAAAACCTTAGCGCTACTCTTGAGGTAGAGGTCATGTCTGCATACATCTCACTCCTCTTAGACCTCAGTTTCGAGTGGTGTTTACTGGGCCCATTTGGTTTGGTGAGTCTAGAGTCTTGAGAGATCACCTGCTTCACGTATTGTAGGCACTATCCATGTAATTTTCTTTCGTTCACAGACAAATAAAATAAGATTCCAGTTGCATTCAGATCAGATAACTATTTGAAGATAGACTAATAGAGCATGCACCATAGAAGAACAAAAACTAAATAATGGAAGCATGGAGAGACTCATTCTAGAGAACTTACCACCATAAGCCTACAGTCAAGGCCAACAGTATCTGCAAGGACTTTGAAAAGAATGGCACGGGGATGACAGAAACCATGCTTTATTTGACCTAGCATCTGAATGCCCTGATTATGTACATTGTAGACTTCCTCCCATGCACCTTTGGCATAATTTAACTCTACGTTTGGGAGTTTATAGAAGTCGCAAACCTACACAATGAGACATCTTATCACAAACAAACCAATTAACAAAATCTATCAAGATGATAGTCCAATCAGAATGTATTATAATTGTACTTCCTTGGTTACTCCATTAACATGTTGCCTAATCAGCGCACAAAAATACTAGTGTTTTTGTACTTCATTAACCAACTGTTCGTGGGTTCTAGATGACACCTGCGGAAATATTATCATAAAAATAAGGAAATCCCAGGCAGCAATAAAATCTTGAATGCAGTAGAGACAAGAAAGCCTTTTTTAGTATATTAATATTTATATACGGCAAATGAACTCACATACCCTCCTAAGCCTTTGGTGAGGTTTAAACCTCAAACAGGGAGGTTAGGCTCTATTGGTAACCCGGATACCGCTAGGCCAAAGTCCCTTTGGTACAAGAAAAGTCTTTTGAGCTCAATTTATTCGAGAAGACTTGGGCCTTCATGACCAGATGTACATACAGCGAATATATTCCTCTAAATCAGTTTTTCTTTTTGTTTCCATCTGTGAGACACAAGGTCGTAAAACGTAAAAGTTAGAAGAACAAAGGACAGAACCAGTTAAACTGGAACTTAGAGACTCCCTCCCTCCTATTGATGGGGAAAGTTCCAAGGCAATAATATAAATTTTATTGGTGTTGAATTTTCTGGTGTATTTAACTAGGGGAAACAGGCCAAACTTGAGAACTTAGGTATTACATTTTATACTTCAAAGCATGGTTAGGTAAATTATACCAAAAACCAAACCAATGCAGTATATCCTACTCAAAAATGGGGTGGAGGATGTACACAAACCAGATCTCTACCCCAAATAGCGGTTGTCTCCTCAATAGCTAACTAGGATATGTTTGGCAAACCAGCTTATAAGCTAGCTGTTGGTTGAAAAGCTATATGTTGGTTAATAAGCTCGTTGATAGTAGATAAGCTAGTTGTTAGACGATGAAAATCCAACAAGAGAGAAAGATAAGTGAAATCTAGACTGGCTAACAAGATAACTACGTCATAATTCAGAAAAACTTCCAAAACAAAGAATTTGAAGAAGGGTTATTGGATAGAAGTAACGTCACACACCAATCCGCCTAACTTTTTAATTACTGCAGCTGGATTAGAAGTCAATCCTTTTGCCAAAGTCAGAGCCAGCTGCTGTAACATTGACACCTTCTTATCTTTATGCATGTCAACAACGATAACATTGAGCTTAAACCCATCTGATTCTAGGACATGGAGCTCTTCAAGAGAAGGGATCATGTCAAATTTCTCTTTGAGTCTTTTTTCCTACATAATGTAAACATCAAAAGTTTCAGATCAAAAACAAGCATGTAAAGGTATTCTTGTCCTACATAATGACATTGAACAATTTATATTTGCATAACAAGACCAAAATAATACAGTCATATCATCTACAAAAACTTAGGTTATATACTAAAAACTAAAAAGGAAAGATCAAAAAACGGCTTACAAAAAGCATGCATCGGGCCATGGCGTGCTATGAGTGTTAATGTGGCATCGGAGACGAGCCTTGCGCCATGGCTGGCCTTTTAGAACACTGTTTACTATTGAACTGTCGGTGTAGCAAACTAATAATAAAATAAGAAATAATTAACTAAATTTTCTAGACGCTTGTGTTTTCTCAATATGATATATTCAATGAGCTACAAGATACAAAACAAAGTTATAGTAATAAGCATTCAAATATGTAAAGGTTTGTAATTGACCATATAGCTAGCGAAGAAAACCCATATTAACAAGATATTGAGGCATCAGGCGAAAAGAATTGAAGCCGAATGCATACTTTAATGAGGGTTTGCACAACTTACGGGTAAAATAGAATAGAAACCGCTAGGAATTGGCTCAGCAAGGTTTCCAGTGGACCAAAGGATTTGTGCCACTCTTTGTGCTCCTGAATCCCCCAGCTGATGCTGGCTATGCATTTTCTTAAATTTAGAAGCCCAGTCAGATTGCATCCGGGTAAAATTCGTAAGCAAGGATTCATTTTGAACAGTATCTGTATGTCTTCCCTCCATCTCCTTGGCGATTCAAAACATAAGATCATTTTGCCACACTTCTTAGCCCATAAACATTAATCAATTCCTACATGAACTCCTTTCTCGAAAATTCTTCACTGGGTACTTAAGTTGCTTGGTTGGAGAGCTCAAATGACCTGCAAATACTTAGAATTCAGAAACTGAATTAGATATTTCTTAAAGGTCCAGTCATAATAAGCATGGCGATACAAGCATTTAATCTATATATACAGGTAAACAACATGATAAAGAGCTAAAAACTGATCACCAATAGAAACCATCCTCAGTGAACCAATATAACATGTAAGTAAAACTAAAAGAACATACACAAATTATATGAAGCCTCAGTTTTCTTCTCCTTTACAGGGATTGCATTTTTACAAACACCTAGTATGCACTACGCGCCACTACATTTCCCCCCAAAAAAACTGAAAATGAAACACCCATTAACAAACGTTACCAAAATCCAAAGAAAGTATTCCAAGATACCCCTCAATGGCGATGCAAAGCAACGAGCACAAACGCCCACAAGATCATTAGATATTAAAAAGAAAATTAATGGCGGAAAAACCCATTGCGAATATGCATACATCTGTCAATACAAAAAGGATAAAGGATCGAATGTACCAGTAAACCTCCAGCCATTTGAATCGTCCAACAATGTTTCTTCAAATCTGATTACTCCACTCTTGTTTCCCTTGTAGTCCGTGATATATGCTTAATTGCAACTCTATTAGAGAGAGAAGTGTCAAGTTTTCTGTTAATCTTGTAGACTAAAGTTCAATTTTGGTCCTTGAGGTTGAGGGAGAAGTCCGAAAATAAGACCTGAACTTTGGTAAACCTTTAAATCATCCTCATGGTTTTCATTTTGTTTTGAAAGTGGTTCTTAATTACTAACTTTGTTTGTTTTCTTAGTTAAAACAAAGGCTAATTTTGTCTTTTTACTTGTTTTTCCAAATTTTCTTCTAAAATATATATTATATTATATTAATTATAGATATTATATTAACAATATTTTATTTTTATATTCATATATTAAAATTTACATAATCATCTCCTATGTCTTTTTCGATAATGGTATCTCCCTAGGTCATTTCCAGTACACTTATATATATATATATATATATATATATATGTGTGTGTAAACATTCTCATTTCTCTTGTACAGCCATACACAACACAATTATTTGGGAAGTGTCATAAACAGTTGTATGTTAGAGAGGCATGGAATAAGGTATGTCTTGATGGTAACGGAGTGGTGCCACGAGGAAGCTGGTCGTGGTGGAGTTCCCATTGGTTGAGAAAGCTGGTGGTGGTGGAGTTTATAGTTCCATTACCGGTGGTGGAGTACACGCTGGAGTGAGATGTCATTGAAGGGAAAGGGATAGGGGAATGGTCATACCTAGAAGAAGGAATGGGTTGAGAAGTCAGGTTAACCCCTCTCTCTCTCTCTTTCACTCTCTCTCTCTCTCTCTCT